GCAGACCTGTGTTTTGGTGATTTTTGGTTGTGTCTTATCCATCCTGACCAGCTGTCTTTTCTTCCTGATCATTGCAGCGACACAACCGCGCCATGCAATACCTGCAAACAATTGCTTGCACAGATGATTTTGGGATCTGTGGCTACTTTGAAATGGTTTCGGAGTCACTGTCCTGACTTGTTCATGTCACTGATTTGCTTTATCAGATCTGTGCTGAGCCCCTCAGACTTTCCTACTGTAGTGTTTGTGGTTGAGTCCGAGTATTAAATGGGCCTTATTGAAATTGGGTCAGAGGAGGCAGCAGCTCAATCGTAATCACTGACAAGAAGTTAAGAGGCCATGTCACTAAGAATGTTTGATTAACACAACTTCAGCAGAACTTGTGATTCGAGTTCTAAATAGCCCAGTTGTTTTTTTGTGACAAAAACACATGTTTCAACGATGCAATCACAGAAAATTACGAATTATAGGAGTCATTGGAAACTCAGGTATGTTGCATGTTGTAGCAACCAGGGAGCGAAACAGCAGGTTTATCGCTGGATGCATCAGAAACCAGCCACACATTACATTCCAGGACTCTTTCCCGCAGCTAGAAAATTTAGTAGGAGAACATTTGACGTGACAGGCAAATCAACATCTGTATTCAGATGGGACATCTGCACTTGGCACCAGGTATCAAACTGGAACAATGTCTCCCACTTGAAGACAACAGGACTTCTTCTACCTTCCAGAGGAGTTGAAAATAGTGCAAGTAGTTCTGCAAAAGGACACTTTGCAGAACTCTTGACCACAGAGTCGCTGTGACCTCCGAACCCTCTGTTCCTCTTAACAGCAAGAACTTTCTGTAAGAATTTAACCGAACCCTTTAAAAACTTAAAGAACAACAGTGGAATTATGTCATCCTACAGGTTTAGTATTAAAGAAAACACTTTAGAATCTGAGTGTGTGTTGAGGACGCACACAAACGCTCCCAAAAGACACACAAACACCCTCGTTTCTCTTCGTCTGTCACAGTCATAAAAGACACAGAGAGACTTTTATCCTCTGCATATGTATTTCAAAGGTCCTTTCTTATTATTTTTGAGTGCATACGCTGGTATTCTTAGTTATATTAAAGGTTTGCTATCATGGATATTGAAACTGCACGACTTATATGGATTTTAACACCATTTATTATTATCGCGGGAATCATCTGAGATAAACATATTGTGTTTAATCTAATTTTGTAATCAGATCTGTAATTATGATAGCTATAAACAAACAGATCAGTGTGTTTAAGACATTTTTTGAAAGGTATCGGGCCTCTGACCTCTCACGGACAGTGAAGCTCTGCACCATCTTTTGTGATGATTGACTAGATGCTGATCTAGATTTCACTTCAAAACATTCTGTGTAGAAGAAAGTCACTGAAGTCACGAACCTTTTACTGTAATGGCACTACTTTTTATTCGCAACTACTGGCTCTGACTCCTTTCATGTCTACTTCAGTACATCCAGGTCATTCATTCACTTATTCACTGTTGTTGTGTCTCGCTGCTGTCTTTTTGTTTGTTTGTAGTACTAATTAATGGATGTTTTATGTATAATTATCACTGGCGTTACCGTGTATTTCTCTGTTTGGGAACTAAAGGTCAATGAAATTAGAATTCACCACTACTGATGAGAGGACTAATCAATATAATTACATTTGAAAAATGTCATGAATATTCATTCACATTCTGAAATATTCCCCATAAAGCTCTCTCTCAGATGAGCTAATAATTTAGCCGCTGATGAATGAGTGCAATTTCAATCTTGAAGTGTAAACATGAGCAGTTTTGTTGTGTGTCTGATATAACACTGGCACCATTTTATTCTCTTGTCAGTACTGCTCTTACTTGTCTCTTGGGGGGTCTGGCCTGCTGTGTATGCTGGGTGGGGGGGCTGCTGTGGTTCCTCCAGGCCAGCGGGGGGCAGAACCACTCGACCTCGCTCAGGTAGATGAGGAAGGAGCAGTCGGAGCCATCGACACCGTAGAAGGCGTAGCAAGGATCGGACGTCCACCTCGCACGCATCCACTGGAGGATGAACACGGAGTGAATATATGATAAGAACGAATGTGATTAAATCATATCAACATAACATCAAGAGAAACAACAGCCTGTATAGTAATGATCAGATTCTCTCTATTGCAGCGCTTCCTAGTCACAGATGTTTTATCATCAGCAGGATAAGAGTTTAAAACTTTAACTAAATATCGAATTCTATTTACCTCAAATTATTTTTATGCTGTTAAAGGAAGTTACAGTTTGTTCATTATGTAATTACCTTGATCTTATCTTTACTGGATTGTGCCCAAAGGTAGAATTTAAGACTTTAAGTAGATCATCTACACCATCGATTGCTGCTGCAAACATTGATTAAGAGCAAAACAACCTAAAACTTGATATTTACTTCAAGCTGTAACATCGCAATTAAGCAGGAGATACTGGGTACACCTCCTGTACCATCACATTAAAAAGCAAAAACAAACAGCTTCATACTCACGTCTACTTTTCCAGGACACTCTGGAAAGCGGGGGTCTCTTGGGACTTCACACTGGCTCGACGTGCCGTCTCTCACGACTGAAAAGACACGGTGAGGGATGTTTTAACTTTATCTAGTAAAACATGAATTTGCTTTTATAAGCTGGACACCTTCCAGGAAAAGTTCTGTAACACCAGCATCCACTGGCATTAATATCAGGTTAAATCAGCTGATGTCTTGTGAATGAAATGCATCCCTCTGCTTTAGCCACACTCACATATCAGCCTACAGGCTCACTGACTTAAGGCTCGCTTTAATCAGTTGGTTCTAATGTGAATATTTATTCTCTACAGAAGATAACAATTCCAGCAGCAATCAGGCATCCTAATGTTATCTATCAGCTCATTTAGCAGCATATGGTGCTTGTCAAAGCCTCTTTAAAAATTCAGGTTTTATTTCTTTCAACTGGTTAATTCGCACAAAACGACCGCAGACGTGAACCGGCCTGACCCGCGGGCTCACCGAGGTTACAGTATCACTCACGGTAACGGCTTTTCTCCGCTGGCCCGTGGAGTTTTCATCGCAACATATTCACTGTCCTCCTTAACGTTATCATTTACAGCCCAGCTGATAAACCCCCGCAGGTTTCCCCCTTCTTTTTGCAGCACTGCAACATGTCTGCTCTCTACTGCAGTGCACACTATTCACTGGGCCTGACAAAGCAGCTTGTCTCCCACTGCTGCCAACCGTCCTAAGGTTACGCTAGCAAGTACGTCTGTTCACTTAGGCTGCACTCACTGCATTAATTGCTCCACTGACTTAGTTAACTGCCTCTCTGCTGCTGATGTGAGGAGGAGAAGGAGGAGACGGAGTGATGGAGGGAACCGTGTTGTCCGAGAGGAAAACCAACGCAGCTTCATTTTTTTTTTCCCCTCCACTGTTTTCCTGTCTTTCAAATCCACTCCCTTCTCCCCCACTTTTCTCTCTCCAGACTGACAAATTTGCCTTCTCTCAGTTTCCGTCTGCTTCCATTTGCCTAATGAAAAAGAGACATTTCTCCACATAAGTCGTCCCCGAGGCTTCTCTCAATCAACTCAAAGCACACACACAGACACACAAACACACACTCTGCCTACAAATATGATTACAATAGCAACCGATATAGCAACAATTTCAAATGTGGTCAACTAACTAGATAAAACAACTTGACTCGTGTCCCTGCAAGACGGAACATAAAAGCTCGTCGGTGCTCGGAGGGAAAGGAAATTCTAATCACGTCTTCTGACTTTCTTTCTCCTCTCACACATGCCTGACCACGAGATAAATAAACCGCCACTGAGCCGTATGATAATAAAGTCTGCCGGCAGTGTTTCAATTCATCTGTGATTAGAGACAGCAGCAGTGTTTTCATTTTGCCGCGTGCCATTGTCCCCGCAGATGCAGCGGAGAAAACAAAAGGAGACGTAATGTTCATTTATTCTCATGTAAAGGGGTTGGCCCAAACAGGGAGAGAGGCGAACGAGGAGGAAAAAATCGGTATCATTTCCGTTTTTGATTGGAAATGTGCAGGGACAAGACAACGGGGAAAAAGCAAAGATGAGATGTTACAGAGATGACCACAGCGTCCTGCCTGTGTTTCTCTTACTAAAAATAAAACCGAAGCAAAATCCATCTGTTTTTCTGTAACATTTTCCAAGTCAGAGTTTGACTCGAGTCACACAGCATGTTTTCAGATGATGTTTTTGATAATCTATTTTTAAAGTTACAATGACACGGAGAAAAAAACTTTTAAATGAGTTTCGTGTAAAAGGATGTCAAACACAAACTGCTTCTTGACGAGGTGTCACAAGTGATTTGTGTCATCGGAAACAGCCGGATAATATAAATCTCTGACTGTGCGTGTCTCTCTTTCTCTCTCTTACTTTGCATGTGTGGGTCAGTGGATCTGTTGTGTATTGTCTTCTATTCTGTTGTGAGTAAGTTTCACTCCAACACAAGCCGCCAGCTGTGCGTGAGTCCATCTGCAAGTTGAAGGATTACGCTCATGTTCCCTTTTTTTTGAAAAGATGATGCTAAAATTAGCTCCTTACACCAAATTTTTTGCTCTTGACGATGCAGTACCGCTTGGTGACACATCCTGTTGTGCATTGTTTTGGTGTCATTTGCAGTATTCTGCTTCCAAATACACTATTACTGGTGCTGGGTGTCTGCCAGCGTCCTGTCTGTCTTTGATTGTTTTTTACGGCACACATTTTTATTGTGGATACTTGATTTTGTGCCCACAATAAAAAAAAAAAATAAATAAAAAATCTATTGCTTCTGGGATAATGGAGTTAATCAATCAATTTCTTATCGTAAGTCGTAAGAGATGAGTGGATTGGATGAGGACGTTGTGAGGATGTGCGTGTGTTGCTTGTATACTTATTTATTGTTCTTGTAGTTTAATTATACTTATTTATAAGGCTGCTTGTAATTGCGGTGGATCTACACGATGATGCAGCCCATGATACGTTGGGCTTCAGCTATACATAGACAAGAGGGTAACAGCATCTTACAGCGGCTGAATATCCCTGTAACTATCCAACAAATATAAAATGTTATTTAAAAAAATAATAATTAAAAAAAAAAGACAGAAAATGTGGGTTGGATTTGTTTTCATTTTACTTTTTAGGGTAAATAAACTATGATGTTGTCAAAAGATGGCGGTATGACTGCAATAAAGAGAAACAAAACCAGGGTTGCTTTCCAAATCGCATACTTTTAAAACATTTTTTTTTTACTTTAAACACATACTGCAGCTAAGAATCTCCTGTTTCATGCACCTTAAGTTTTGACCGTAGCAGCCTGTAGTGCAAAATGAGCGGTCATCTGCGGTTCATGTGAGACACTGAGTTGCATGTGATGGCTTTCATTCTGCAAAATCTGACTAAATGTAGCAGAAGCAGAACATCCAAGTATTACTACATCTGACATACTATGCCTTGAGACGTACTGTATAGGTGCTTTAAGGTATGGTAACATGGATAATTTGAACCCCTGGTGTTTGCCAACCATCAAACAACCTCAAAGAAGAAGAAGAAACAAACAAAACATTGACAAAGTCTTCAGATATTGTTTTCAGTCCTACAAGCTGTGATTATTTTTTTCACTTCAGCAGGTGTTGGCCACGTTTTGTGCCATCCTGAGACAAAGGGAATGAAAGAAGCAGAAATAACCTCTAAAACATGGAAATCGGGCTAATGATGTTGATACCGTACCTCTGCCTTGCACCATGCTGTTCTGCAGTATCTGCTCCACCCTGATGGCCATGTTGGAGACATTCTGGGCAATCGCTTGGATCTTCTCCACCAGTCCGGCTGGTTGAAACCTGCACACACGACACAAAGACGAACGTTCAAAGTGAAGAAATGTTTAGACAGTGCCGTTACCTTCACACTGTTGTTACACCACATACGCTCAGTTTGAAAGCGGATGTGGAGGTTTGAAGGCAACACCTCTGCATCAAAGTAGGGAATCTCGAGCACACTTGTCACACAAATCTTTGACCAACAATATAAAAACTCTTTCAGCAGCACCCATTCCCATTCATCTGGTTGGTATCACTGCTATCTTCTTTTTAGCCGCTTCCCTACTGCAAATTCTCTCCCATATAATTCATGAGCTAATGTCCTTCCTCTTCTAATATTCCCCTCTTTCACTTGGGTCTCATTGGGGCTTCTACCTTTTTTTTTTTCCTGTCTCAGTCTTTTCTCCTACTCCTCTCTTTTGCCTCTCGTACTCTGCTTCGCCACCCTCCCCTTTCACATCTTAACAGATGTAGAAGTGTTAGTGGGAGATGCAAATTGGTAGACACTTGGTTGGAGCGTGAAATAGAAAAAGACCTGCACTGTTAATACCACTTCCCCTCCAGAGTGAGAGACTTCCCATTCACATAATAAGATGTGTGGGAAACGCGTGTGTGTGTGTGTGCATGACGTGCACATGTTTCAGTTTGCATCCATTTCTGTGTTCACGGTAGTTTCTGCATATTTCCAAATCATCAGACTGCATGGTTGCACATGATGCAATGCAAAGCCAAGCCAGCGCTCAGACACACACTCATGCTGCTGTGCCCATTATGTCCATTTAAATGACTAAATTTCGGTGTGCATTGTGGGTCTGTGCATGTGTGTGTGTGCACCTTCCTGGCTCACTATATTGTCTAATCAGCAGATGGTATTAACCCTCATTAAAGCCAAAGGCTTAAATGCAGCATAATAACGCATCGTCAGAGATGATGATTCGAATTATTGATTACGTGTGGCTAAGCATGTGTGTGTGTGTGTGTTCGAGCTTTAATACAAGGCTGCCTAACTGACTAAATGCCAACAGCAGCTGCAAGAAACTGAACTCAGAATTCATAGGATTGAGGGAATATGTGAAGAAAGTGCTTTTGTTGCTTTACAAAGTGTAAACAAAAATCGAGGCAGCCGTCAAAGTCACAGGCAGTCTCCACGCTCCATTAAAAGCTTTGTAAGTGTCACTTGCGAGCGTTGCTACATGTGTTTGCATCTTTAATATGTTCACCACACTGCAGTAGCTATTATGCTCAAGTGCACGAGTATTTCAGGGGCAGCAGCTGTAAGCAGAATGTAGAAATGCTGAAATGAGAAATGTAACATGCCATAGTTTTGCTGCATGTGAAAGTTTAATCTTACAGCACAGTAGCTCTTTATGTTGGCGTGAATAAAGCACCGCGAAGGAGGCAACCTTGGAGTTCATTCTCATTTTTATAAGAGAGTCTTAACAGAAATGTAAATGTGTTGACTGTTTCTCATATTAA